GGTTAGGTTTAAGTGGTTTTAGTTTGCTATTTGGTTTAATAAGTTTTTTAACATTTCAAAATTAATTATAAAACAAACTGTATAAGGTTCAACTTGATTGGTTTTTGGTAATTCGGTTTGATAAATCTTAAGAAAACCAAATAACATTTTTGTTTTGGATAAACTTAGAGCGGAATAAACTAAAATGCACATCAATTATAACATTAGTTAAAAGTACATCACGATCATTAAAAATTTTGCAACATAAATTCTACATTTGTTTTTACAACTTTTCTTGTATTTTACATTAGACAACTTGCAAAATCAACTCCATACTCATTTTCACATCTTATTTTTTTGTTATAAGTAACCTTAAACATTTGCAAAATAAATTTCATAGATAAAGAAATAAAATTTAAAAAATATTAATCTTATTGGAGTTTTGCTTATAGTTGGGGCTAATAATATGTCCAATATTTAATTAGGCCCGGTTAGGGACAAAGCCCATAATCTCATAACCTGTATCATCATTCATCATCTACCTCAACATTCAGACTATTGCTAACTTGAAACTACTTTTTACCCGCCAATTTCCTGTACGCACATCAATGGCTTCCTTCACACTTCGAATCTTGCAATTCTTGATCTTCGCTGGTGCCATCTTCTTTCATTTCGATTTAGTAATGGCTCTTCAGCTCAATCAAGTCTCTCGTTTTAGCCCTTTACAACCTCCAATTACATCGCCGGTTAATTCTATTTCTCCTGCTCCACCACCACAATCGACAGTGCCACCGTCATCTCTATCACCCTATCTACCATCGGATTCACAGCCGGCAACTGCATCACCTCCACACCCATCGCCTTCAAACCCACCACCTCCTTCTCCATCGCCTCCATACTCGCCACCTCCACCTCCACCGCCTCCATCTCCATCACCACCGTCTACGCCGCCTGCTTCCCCAGTTAGGGCGCTATTCGTTCTTGGGGACTCTTCTGTTGACTGTGGAACCAACAATTTCTTGGGAACATTTGCTCGTGCAGATCGTCTTCCTTATGGACGCGATTTTGATACACATCAACCCACCGGACGATTCTGCAACGGAAGAATCCCTGTGGATTTTCTTGGTAAGCAACTGTTTTCTTACATCCATTTCTTTATTTTTCTTATTGTTACAATCTAGTTGCATTCTAGGTGTTCAACCAAACGTCTAGGCATTTTCAAACATATATTCTGATTTCCCATTTCTTTTCAACTTTTTTTGATCATGCTCATCAGCACTGCGTCTAGGGCTTCCTTTTGTTCCAAGCTATCTAGGTCAAGCCGGATCTATTGAAGATATGATCCATGGTGTCAATTATGCATCTGCTGGTGCTGGGATCATCTTCTCCAGTGGATCAGAATTGGTAGGTTTAATTTATGAACCAAATTTATATTTTTCCCGATTCTGTAAATGGGTTATAATATGTAATATGATATACACATTCATGAGAGTCAAACTATCTACATTTTGCAGGGTCAACACGTATCATTCGGCCAACAAATTCAACAGACTATAGACACCTTTCAACTTTTCATAACACAAATGGGCGAACAAACAGCTGCTGATTTCATCTCAAACTCCATAATCTATATTTCAATTGGAACTAATGATTACATACATTACTATCTTCCTAACGTGTCCGATGTACAATCCAAGTATGTATCATGGAAATTTAACCAGTTTTTAGCCTACTCCATGAAGGAGGAGATAAAGGTGTAACAAAAAAAAAAGCCTTGATCTTTTTACATTCTTGATATCTTTTTGTGAGTCCCATTTGATTTTGTATTTGTGATGCAGAATTTGTACAATGCTAATGTGAGAAAAGTGGTGGTGATGGGATTAGCGCCTATTGGTTGTGCACCTTATTATTTGTGGCAATATGGGAGTGAAGATGGAGATTGTATCAAGGTGATAAACAACATGATAATGGAATTTAACTTTGTTATGAGATTTACAATATCAGAGCTTCGTAAAGAACTCACGGATGCCAACATTATCTTTTGTGACGCATATCAAGGGTCCATGGATATAATAAAGAATTTTGATCAATATGGTAAGAATAAAACCCTTGTTTTCTTCTTACAGTGGCAATGTGGGCCAGCTTAGCTTAGGATTTTTTTTTTTTTAGAAAGTAGTGATTTGACAATTTGTTTTATTTGTTGAAGGATTTAGTGTGACAAATGAAGCTTGTTGCGGCGTGGGGCCATACAATGGTTGGATGATGTGCATGGGCCCTGAAATGGCTTGCGAGAATGCTTCTAGTCATCTTTGGTGGGACCAATTTCATCCAACGGCTGCAGTGAATGAGATTTTGGCGGATAATGTGTGGTCTGGATTGCACACACCCATGTGCTATCCAATGAACATGGAGGACATGGTGAAATAATATGTGGTTTTTGGTGTTGCTGATTCTTTGATACTCAATCAAGTTGTATTCATTCAGGAAATTATCTAGTCTCGTGGTGTCTTTGGTTGGAAAGTATGGATAATAGAGAATTGTATATATGCATATGAATTACTAACTGTGAAAGAGGAACCAGGAATTGTATGACGACTTAAAAAAATTAGAATGTACTCCAAAATGATTATTGATTGATATGGTTTTATCTTACGAAAAAAAATATAAAGTATATTTAATGTGTTATCGGATTGAATCCATTATCCATTTGACATAAGGGTTGTTTGCTGATATGGGTTTGGTAATGAACATATATATGATTTGTTGAAGGTTGTCTTAGAGCATCTTCGATCCTAATTCAAACTCAATTTTTTATTCTATTATAGAGTTAACCCCATCGATTTCCAACTTTATCGAAATAACGAAATAGTAATTCTCCAAATAAAAATACAGAGTTTTATTATTCATTTCTTCAAAATGGAGTTTAATTTTCACTTATCGATTTTAGCCTCTCACATTTTAGGTTTATCAATTTCTACTTTGTTTTAATTAACTATAATTTAAATGATATTTATTAATCATAAATATAAAATTTATTGTTTATGTATTGAGTTTATATAAAATTTAATAAATAAATCAAAAAACTAATAAGTTGAAATGTACTTTTGACAATATTTATAAGTTAAAAAAAATACTAGAAATATATTTTCTATAGTAAAAATGGAATAAGATCATAAATGAAATAGTATTTTTATTCATTTTTAAAGTAAAAAATTGCGGTATGTTAAAATCGTCTTAATAGTTAAGAGTACGATTACATAAACTAAACTCATTTGACCAAAACAACTGACAAGTTATAAAAAATTGACAACATAATTATATATATATATATATATATATATATATAATATATATATATATATATATATATATATATATATATATAATATATATATATATATATATATATATATATATATATATATATATAATATATATATATAGGGATATATACAGTAAAGTCCCAATATTTTCATCGATTTGACAAGAAAGTCCTAAACTTTATTTTTTTGACAGTAAAGTCCAAATTACCGGCACTTTTTGACATTTTTACCCTTTTTTCCCGGTTAGCAGGTAATTAGGACTTTTTTGTCAACAAAATAAAGTTTAGGACTTTCTTGTCAAATCGTCAATTAGGACTTTACTGTCAAAAAAATAAAGTTTATGACTTTTTTGTCAAATCGTTGAAAATATTAGGACTTTAGTGTATATATGTTTTTTTTTGGTTAGAAATTTAAAGGTATGATACTCTTTAAGCATAAGAGTTATTGAAACATTCTCTAATCAGTTAGATCCTATTGAAATCTTTTACGTTTGCTTCTTGTTAAATCGTTTTTTTAATCTCAACAAACCGACATTGAAAAAATTGAGATAATCAAGAAAGAAATAAATAACCAGGGTTGTGTTGGCTTTTTGCAGCCCCAAAAATGGAGAAATTAGAAACCGAAAAAAAACGAAATTGCTTTTCTTTCCAATCTCCGCATTCACACCCTTTTGACTAGGCATGTGTTGTTTGTGTTTGTATAAAGCCAGGACACTTTCGTCTTTTTAGGTTTCTAATTTCTTCATTTTTGAGACTGGAAAAAAGCCAACACAACCCTGGTTATTTTTTTCTTTCTTGATTATCTCAATTTTTTTCAATGTCGGTTTGTTGGGATTAAAAAAACGATTTAACAAGAAGCAAACGTAAAAGATTTCAATAGGATCTAACTGATTAGAGAATGTTTCAATAACTCTTATGCTTAAAGAGTATCATACCTTTAAATTTCTAACCAAAAAAAACATATATACACTAAAGTCCTAATATTTTCAACGATTTGACAAAAAAGTCATAAACTTTATTTTTTTGACAGTAAAGTCCTAATTGACGATTTGACAAGAAAGTCCTAAACTTTATTTTGTTGACAAAAAAGTCCTAATTACCGACTATATATATATATATATATATATATATATATAAATATATTATATATATATATTTATATATATATATATATATATATATATATATATATATATATATATATATATATTGTTCCTGTTGGTGCAAAAATCACCATGGGAATCAAAACCTTTGAATATTGTCTACTTTAAATTGACTATTTATAGTTGCCAACCTTTTACTGATAACCTTTTTACACAAGGTATTTATCTTCAACTTCTGTAGACGACTCCATATTCACCTCTCACGGTTCCAATGCTGCTCGATTCACTTGCCCACCATTGGAAAATGAACTTTGATATCCCAATCTTCAGGGAAATTTTAACTCATTGAATATGTAATAAAAAATGTGAAGTAAATATATTATGTTAATCTAACTTTAAAGGAATGAGTTATAACATTTTAAATTATTTTCACACATTACAAAATATGAAAAAAAAAAAATGAAAACTTTTTAGTTTTGATATCCCATTTTCGGAGGACTGTTGTTGGGAAAGAAATAATCGAATTAAACCTGAGATATAACATTTTAAAGAATTTTACAAATTATGTCTTCTAAAAAAAAACCAATAACATAAAAAAAAGACCGAAACCAATATCATAACTTAGTAACCAATAACCAGCCCGATGCATATAAACCGGTTACCTCCGGTTCGGTCCGGTCCGGCCAACAAATCTGATTGCCACCCCTGTCTTACCGTGCGAAATTTTATTTTCTCACGATTCATTGAAATAAAATATCGTCATCAAACGTTAATCGGACACTCATTTGGTTGTACGTTGCGTTCATTTTCTTCGATTATTCCCCAAAACGAGAATAAAATCAGCAGAATCATCTTGGTGATGAATCTCTAAGCAGTAAAATCTCCGTTAATTGCATGTCAAGCGATTTCAGCAACCCTAGGTATGTTGATGAATAATGAAAATTTCGATGTGAAATCGTATCTGGGTAATAATGGCGATGATCATGAAATTTGAATTTGTATTTGTTGATTGCTGTATTTTGCGGATTTTTATGACAATAGATGGAATTTGAACTGTTCACTGACTGCGCCGAGGATGATTATACTTTTGGAGTTGAAGATGATGATAATGTGAGTATATGTATCTTCGGTTTAGTTATTCTAGTTTTGTTCTGTTGTCTATTAGTAAATTTAGCTCGACGATCGAAAAAAGTAGCACTTGCTAAATTGATCGTGGATGTGCAAAAGCGCATTCCCTCCTATAAAACAGATGACGAATTGGACTTTGGAGGTAATACACGCATTTCAACTTTAAAATTGTTCCTGCAATTAGAAATGTCTCTCCGAGTTTTGTAAAAAAAGGCATAACAAGAGTTTGGAAAGTCATAGGTTTAATATCAAAAGCTAAAGTGTATTTCTTTCCATTATAGTGGTTGGAGTATATGTAGATATGATAGATCAAGTGTATATAATATTGATTAAATGTGACTAATATAATGGATGATTTACATCTGTTTATAGTTGGAATTTGTTGTACTTGTTCACATAGCGAACAGATAGATGTTCAAATGTAGCTTTCACATTGATACTGTTGTGTACATGTGCCTTATATGCAGGAACAAGAACAGCTAGTGTTTGAGGGTGATGAAGGTCAAAGATGTGGGATTTGCATGGATGTTGTTGTTGATAGAGGAGTTTTAGATTGCTGTCAGCACTGGTATATGCCTCATATTATCAATCTTTTTCTTTAATTTGGGGTTTGGGGGTGGGCATAGTTTGTTAGTATATCATCATTGCTTGTCTTGATTGCCATTGCTATCACTTCATCAGAGTTATTCACTCTTAATTCCTTCAATTCAGGTACTGTTTTTCATGCATTGACAACTGGGCTAGTATCACTAACCTATGTCCACTTTGCCAGAGTGAATTTCAATTGATCACTTGTGTTCCTGTGAGTTATGCACTATCTGTTTTTTTTTTTTTTGCTATGGCTTCTTTTTTGTAGAATTATTATTTAGAAATTTAGAATGTCACTGTACATTGACTAATATTTTTCCTGAACGTGATTGTTTTGAAGGTATATGATACTATTGGAAACGTTCAGCTTGATGATGAATCATATGCAAGGTACTCCCTTTTATGTGTTATTCTACACCCTCCCCTCTTTACTATCATTTTAGATGACTTCAAGACCACAAGACTGACTGTAATCTGCAAAGATTGAATCTATTTTGTGTTGTTGATTTAATATTCCTCACTACTAATAATTTAAATTTGCAGCAGTATCTAATTTGATTTCTTTTTGTCTCTTCAATGCAGAGATGATGATTGGTCTGTTGAAGGAAACAATAACACACTTTCTTTTCCATCATACTATATTGATGAAAATGTATGTCGCAAGAGCTATCTCATTAAACCCATCCAATGCTATATGAATAGTAATTTGCTCTAAAATGTATGTGCTGACTACACAATAATTTTGCATGTTAAAAAACATAAGCAAATCTCCAAATTTTTTGGCCAAGAACAGAGAATACATTCTCCCTAAACAAATATGTTTTTTTTTTTTTTTTTTTTTTTTTTTTTTTTTTTTTTTTTCCCTTTTTTCTTGGGTCTTCCTTTTATTTGAGACAAAAAACTGCTTGCTTTACAACACAAAATTTAGGTATAGAGTATAGACTACTCAAGCAAGAACAGCTACTTCTTCAAGAGCAGTTCATTATAGCATCCTACTTTCATTTTTTCTTATTACAGCATTGTCCTTTGAAAAAATCTACCCAGTTATAGCAATGTCATCCAAGTACAACAGATATAATTGAGTAGATTTTTCAAAGGAAAATGTCTTAATAAGAGAAAACGAAAGTAAGATGCTATAATAAACAAATAAGTTAAAGTACATTGCTATCATCATGTAGGCAGTCAGCTGCTTGGAAGGAGACAGCTGCAAAATTCGAGGCCAGTCTGCAAATCTTGAAGAAGATCCAGATCTTGATACATCAATTGCTTGTGATTCATGTGATCTGTGGTATAGTTATTGTTATTGGATTAATAATCTTCACATAACAAATATGTAGTTATATCCTACAATATTCTTTCATGAATTGGTATCTTATCTTATGGAAACAGGTATCATGCTATATGTGTTGGATTTGATCCTGATGGGAGTTGTGAAAATTCGTGGCTGTGCCCAAGGTATCATTTTCTTCTTCTTTCCAGATTATCATTTCATCACATAAAATAATCTTCATTTCTTTCTACAGGTGTTTAGCTGATGAGGCATCAAAAAAGTCAGAATTAGGATCAAGCAATACACATGAGCAATTAGGGGATGCTGCTTTCCCCATGAATGTATCTGTTTCTGTGGCTGATGCAGGAGAGACAGCTGTCGTTGTCTCCATCATTGATGGAAATCAAGAGACAAAAGTACAAGATGAAAACATGTTTTCAAGCATAAATATCACCAAGGACTTGCAAATTGGTATGATTAGATATTGTTTTGGTGTTCATGATGACAAGTCATTGTGCCTATATTTATTGAAGATTCTGCTGCTCTTATTGCCTGAAGGGAATCAAGAAAATGAAGAAATGAATCAGATAATGTTGCCAGATGTTTGTGAAGACATGGGGATTGACAACAATAAGGATTATATTGATGATAATCACAAATTGGAAAAACAATTATCTGAGAAAATTATCAAGAAACCAAAGTTAGAGCCAGTGGAGGAGGATCTTCCATCATCAAACTTTAAAGAAGAAACAAGTGTCTCTGATGAATTGCTTTCACCTGACAAGAAAAAAAAATCTGGTGGAAATACAGGTGGCAAAAGAAAGCAAAGAGATTTCAGGTTTATTTTCTCACATGCTACTTCTTTATTTGTGTATCTTATTCTTGTATCTGATACATAATTATATACTTTTTTCAAGTGGGGATGAAGGGGAAACAAAAGTGAAGAAGATTGTTAAAACAGAAAGAAGTCGTGTTGCTCATTCTGTGAATGAACCGCATTACTCTAAAAGATCAAATAAAGCAGTGGCGAAAAAGCAAAGGGTTGAAACTGACATAAGAGATATAGTTCAGGGGCCATACCACAAACCTTCGGAAGATAAAGGGTTAAGGATAAAAAAGATTATGAGAAGAGCAGCCGATGATAAAGAGTCATTAATGGTAGTTCAGAATTTAAGGAAGGAAATTAGAGAAGCTGTTCGTAACAGATCATCAAAAGAAATAGGAGATAATCTTTTTGATCCAAAGCTTTTGGCTGCATTCAGAACAGCTTTGACAGGTGGACAAACAGAAACAAAAAGACCACCACTACCCTTAAATATGAAAGCAAAAAAGGCCTTGTTGCAAAAGGGAACTACACGTGAGAATTTAACCAAAAAAATTTACGGGGTTGGTGGAAAAAGGAAGCGAGCATGGACACGTGATTGTGAGATTGAGTTTTGGAAGCATCGTGTCTCAAATGTAGTATCAAAGCCTGAAAAAATTCAAACTTTGAAATCTGTTCTTGATCTTTTAAGAAAGGGTCCCGAGGTTATAGAGGTCAAAAAGGAAAATACCGAAAATGCCCCTGGTTCGATTCTTTCGAGACTGTATGTTGCGGATTCATCTGTTTTTCCGAGGAAGGCTGATATTAAGCCTCTTTCTGCCCTGAAATCTCCGGATGTAATCGAGGCGTCTGTGAAACCAACCGATTCATTGGTGCATGGGACCAAGGGTAAAAAGGTAAATCTGAATAAGAGCTCAGAGAGGTCATCTGTGAATGCCCAAAAGGAATCTGGAAATGGGTCTAGTGATGTTAAAGTCGACAAAAGGAAATGGGCTATGGAGGTTCTTGCAAGAAAGACAGCTGTCTCGGGAAACAATTCCACACAGGGGCAAGATAATGTGGCTCTTAAAGGAAATTATCCTCTACTGGTATGTCAAGATAATACCCTTTTATCATCTACTAATCTTGTAGCTAGTTTTATTTTCTTTAATATCATTTTTTTTTGGTATTGCAGGCTAAATTGCCAGTTGAAATGCGACCAAGTTTGGCAACTAGTCGACATAATAAAATCCCCATTTCGGTTAGGCAGGTATGATGTGTAAAATGCTTATAATAATCAGAAGTAGATACTATTTCTTGCATTTAGTGAAAATTGCTTTGAGAAATTTACCCTAATATAGTAATGACATTTGCTTTGAAAGTCCTGACTTCAAGCCTTTGAAGATCCTTATGGGTTGAATGCAAGAAATAACAAAATATTTTCATTTGTTTGTTTATTATAGCATCCCTACTTTCATTTCCTACTATTCTAGTATTGTACTTTTGAAAAATCTATCCAATAACAATGCCATTAAAATACCCCTTGATTTTATAGGCTCAACTTTATCGCCTGACGGAGCATTTTCTGAAAAAAACAAACATGCCAATCACTAGTCGGCCAACTGCAGAAATAGAGTTGGCTGTTGCAGATGCTATCAATATTGAAAAGTCAGTTGCAGATAGATCAAACAGCAAGCTAGTTTATGTCAATTTATGCTCCCAGGAGTTATTACACAGATCAGATAATAATAATATTGATTCAGAACCTAAACCTACACCTGTCATTGCTGATAACTCAGAAACAACACCAACAACAACAACCACCAGTGCTGACATGGATGCTGATGTGGATGTTAATGAAGCGCTTAGAAATGCTGGTTTATTGTCGGATTCACCCCCAGGTAGTCCTCCAGTTTGTGAAAAAATGGAAGAAGATGATGGTCCTGATAATGTATTTGAAATAGATGATGAACAAGAACTTGATATATACGGTGATTTTGAGTATGATCTGGAGGAAGAAAACTTTATTGGTGTGAGTGATGCGATTAAAAAAGCTTCAAAAAAACTTCAAGATGATGATACGAAAATAAAAATGGTTTTTTCAACACTTGATTCCAAGAGGTCGGATAGTGGTTGGAGGTTTGAAGAAGCACCACCAGTAACACTAGAAAATACAAATGAAGATAAAACGAAAGATGAAGAAGATGAAGTTGATGAATGTGAAGAATTATATGGCCCTGATAAAGAACCTCTTATTAACAAGTATCCTGAAATAAAACCACTTGATTTCGTAAATGTAACTGAAAACGTTGCTTTACAAGTAAACATAGAAGCCAAGGCATCTGATGCCACAAATAATAAGCCTGTAGAGATAGTAGAAGCAAAGGACAAAAAATCTCACCCTGACAAGAAACAGCAGTCTGAAAAACACAATTCTGTGTTTAAAAAGGTTTGTAATGCATTTCTTCATCATTTTTTTTAGAAAATTGCACTCCAAAAGAGAGTACACTTTACAATTGTCTGAAACTTCCTAAAAGAAGCATAAACTTCTTAGTATTATACCATTTTATTAAAACGTAACAGTTGATACATAATTAGTTATTTTTTAATTTTTAACATTGATATTTTGGAAATTAATAAATAACTAATTACGTATCATCATTGTTAAGTTTAAATAATGCAATATAATAATATGGTACATGTTTTTAGTGTGGGGTTGGAACTGGAAATAGATTTGGTGCTAAACTAGTGGTTTTAACTTTTTCCATGTGGCAAAGGGATTTGTGGCAGATTACTTACTATAAAGCTAATTATATGTTTGTAAATATGTGCAACAGGTTGAAGCATACATAAAAGAGCACATCAGACCATTGTGCAAAAGTGGAGTGATCACAGTTGACCAATACAGATGGGCTGTGGGAAAAACAACCGACAAAATCATGAAGTTCCATTCCAAAGATACCAATGCAAATTTCCTCATCAAAGAAGGGGAAAAAGTCAAGAAACTTGCCGAACAATATGTTGAAGCTGCCCAAAAGCTTGAAAATAACAAATAACTTCATGTTCCATCTTTGCTCAACTTTTGGCTTCCAAGTTTTTTAAAGAATCAATCGGGCGGGCTGCCCGAATATTAAAAGTTCACAAAGGGTAAGTTTTATGAAGAATTGAAGATCATTTTGTTCACCCTTCAGCTGCCCGAAATGCATCTGACCCAAATTATGCACCCACGTTTCAACCGCCCACATAGGTTTACGGGTAAAATGTTTCAAAATTTGTATAAAAAGCGATATTGTTCCATGAATTAAAAAAAAAAAATAAAAATTGTTGCATAAATGCATATTTAACCTTTTTTTCTAGTATGTTGGTTGTTTAGGAACGAAAGAATGATACTTGAAGAGTAATGGGCTTTTTCTTTATCTCACACAAAGCAAAACAAACACTTATACATATATATATATATATATATATATATATATATCTATATGAATCCAAAGTCACCCCATAGACTCTGTACTCATGGCATCAAGATCTTACCTACTACCAATACTACTAACATCTGTATAATCTATTACTACAAAGAATATGCATTTCTTGACTTCCTAAAAGTCAAAAGGTCGGACCCACATCATGCACCATTGACCACAATCGTTCCACTAACATGAATCATGATCGGCCTGGACATGGCTGCTTGACGGCTTACCAATCTGCAGACACTCAACTGGTGGGACAGCTGGCGATAACAGCTCGCCAAATGTCTTCCAACAAAACGGGTCATACATGTGGTATCGTTCTTGAATTGGTTTTAAGTTTATACCATTTAGATTCACATCCGTACAAGGCATGCTATCACTACATGCGAAATGAACTGGTTTGACTGTGTAGGTCCCCCTAATACGCTCGTAACTAATCCCTGATAATGCGACAGCAGACGATTGGTTTTTACACGTGCTTTTATCACAGTAGAATTGATCGATTACTATCGGTAATTGAACTTCTGAAACTTGAATGTTTGAAAACATTATTCCTTGGACTGACCCTGATCCACCCTGTAATAGGACAAACGTAAAGTTAGAATCAATTGATGATCATTCAGTTAGCTGGTCTATACAGTATAGACCAACTGGCAGAAGCATAGGTCTTGAGAGATAAGAGATATGACAATTTTTTTTGTCACATTACCTGCCATGTTTTGATTCGTACACCGTTCATGGTGTTAGTCATCATGACATCTCGAACTGTGACATTCGAGACGCAAGCTTTCGTGTTATCTTTTCCTAAGCTTCCGATACTGATACCATGACCCGGTCCGCAATTCACGTTGTGTATGTAAATGTTTGAACACCCGGTTTGTATAGAAACACAGTCGTCTCCTACAAATCAATTAACATGTTAAAATCAATCTTATATTATAACCATCAAGATTTTATTCAAGTGCTGAATTACCACATGAGAGATCGGTAGTGTGGATCAAAACATCCTTTGAGTTTTGTAAATGGATCCCGTCTGTATTTGGGCTATCGCCAGGTGATGAGACTTTGAAGTTGTACACCGAGACTCCCATGCAGTTATCGAACTTGAGGTGACACTGAGGACTGTTTTGGATTGTTATGCCCGTCACCGTTACATCAAAGCTCCCGTAAAACCTCACTGCCTGTTTCAACACAATAAAACATATTGTCAACGTCAATAAAAGTATAAAACTTTTTTGATATTTCTGTGAAACGGTTATTCTTCCAGCAACCTCTGAGCTGGATCCACATTGGAATTGAAACTCTCACACTACTGTTAAAACTCAAACACATATATTTATGTACTTACGGTTGGTTTTATGCTCGGCATTCTGCCTCCAAGTGAGTCGGTTATGGATGAATGTAAGATCTTTTTTCCGGTTGTTCCATTGATGGGAATGATTAGTTTTAGTTCATCGTCTAGTGGATCATCTAAGGGAGTGCTTTTCCACCAAATTGAGCCACTTCCATCAATGGTGCCTCCCCCTTGAATAGTGAGTCCTACTAGTTTTGTGAAAAGAATCCATTGAAACAATCCTGATCCATAAGATTTGAAGCTTGATGGAGCAATTATGGTGCCATCAATCTGTCAAAATTCCATGTAGAGTTTCAAATTGTGAAAATGTGTTGATAATTTAGGGGTAAAATTGTAATATAAGTAGAAGGGTAGAAAGCGAAAGATTTTAAGATCACGTGTCTACAATAAATTACCTGGAAAACAATGTTTGGCTGGCAATAAGGACCAGAAAATGCGATGGGGCCCAGAAGGAATTTATATGGTGATGGAACAATAATTTTTGATCCCTTCACTTTACATGCAACTGCCCAAGCACCTTCAAAAGCCTGTTTAAATAAACAAAATTCAACATATTAATATATATTACAAATATATAATACTTAAAATTAAATTCTTTTTAGACAATAAAAGTAAATCATAGTTTTATGTTCCTAAATATGGCTGTATTCATGGATTGTTAACATGAAAAGGAAATTTTAATTGAGAACAAATATATAATATAAAGTGTTGTATAACTTTTGGAAGAAAGGACTACATCTTTTAATATAATTTTTTTTTTCATATAAATGTTTGACTACTAATAACATCCAAATTGCTATTTAAGACAGACAAAAAAGTGAGGAATCTTGTTGATCAAAGCTAATAGTATCAATATATATTATAATAATGCTTATTGGCAATAATATCTTTAAAAGGGAATCCTGTATATCCTTCATCTCAATAGTACTCAACATGCATTTTATTATATAATTCAACACACATATTTAATTCCTGATAAAGTATTTAAAATAAATGTTCTTAGTGTAATTTTATAAATTAAATCATTTTTTGTCCTAAATCAAATTTACATCCAATAAATAAATTCCGTTAGACTATTATAAGATTTCTGGCTCACTTTATGCTTTTTAAGTTCTGATCCATTGAAACTTTTGTATCATAATTTTTAAACTTTTCAGAGTCATTATTTATATACCAAATTATTATACATTTTACTATAAAGTTGTAAGTTTTATTCGGATTAAAAAAGTTATATATTCAGATTTTACAGGTGTTGGAAGTTTGGACAGAATCGGCCAATCGGGTGCTGTAACTAAAATAACAGAATCATTTATATCTGGTCCATCTGTGGCCTTTTATTATATAGATTTGTTTTTTTGTTTTTATTTGCAATAAATTTCAATAATTTTAATTAATATTACTCTTATATTACACAAAAAAATAAAATATATCTTATTTTTCTAATTTATATTAACAGATTAAATATAAAATTATGTTTTATTTATACATGACATGACAATGGTTAAAAGTATGTTCACATAATAATGTTTTATTTTATTAACATTTTCTACAACAATTGCTCATCGGTTTTAATCAATTTTTGAAACAAATTTTACTTTTTTACCATTTTATGCAAATAACACCAATTATACGATTATGCTATTATTGAGTAAACATGTTAATTTTTTTTTTTCATATTTGTCTTAAAATAAAATAGGATTGTATACTTCCTCTAAATATAGTTTTATTGCATAAATTGACAAAAATATTATTTATATATGACGTACTAGCTGAAAAAATTGATTGATAAAAAATACAATGTTTAATAAAGTCTAAAGTAGTTGAAACATATATAAAATGACATAAAACACATTTTAAAGAATATGTTTTTCATAATTAGTTGAAAGGGTATATTTAGAGAAAAAAAAAAAAACTCATGAAAAGTAGCTTTTTGAATTTGGTTTGTCATGACAATTTAAAAAACTCGCAAAACCAGCTAACTATGACGTTATATGTATAAACTAATTTAAATTTTTATAAAATCACATTAGGTTGTTATTCTGCAACCATAAATAAAAATGTCAATTGTTTTATAAAACGTATTTTCCCTTTTTTCACTGAAACCTGCTTTCAAGCAAAATGACTTTTTTGGCTTCTAATTTCGACAACAATTAGAAGAAAAACAATGACATATTTGGTGAAGAAACTTGTGAAAATCTGAAGAAATCATAGAAATCGAGTACTTTACCTTTGTATCATCGGCAATTCCATCTCCTTTGGCGCCAAAATTCAACACATTGTAAGTATTTGCAGCGGCAGGGACACCACCGTCGTCATGCTCCGGTGGTGCAGGGGCTGAAGCCGGTGGTGCTTTATGAGAAGAAGATTTCGACTTCGATTTTCCGCCACCGCCGTTGTGGTGGTTGTTGCCGGATTTCTTCTTGGATAACGTAGTAGAGGTGCTTCGATTCTTCCTCCAATGCCTGCCACTTCTTGTTGCATTGCAGGAATTATGAGTTTCTGAACTCCACACTAAAATGGCGACAAGAATCGCTAATGAGAAGCTTCTGAAACTCGAAATTGTCATTTTTTTTTACAGAAAGGGGTGTGTGGAGGGAGAGTGTGATGAAGAAGATGAGTTAAGAGAGGCAGATGATTTGGTATTTATATAATATAATGAATTATTTTTCTTTCAAACTTTATGGCTGCTTTTTATTTTATGTTTTTAATTGTTGTATGTTAACAAAAATATTTATTACTTTTTGTACTTATTGTTGGTTGCATTATTTTCCTACATTGTCTTTAAAAACGAGATATTAAAATCATGATCAAAACAAAATGGATAAATTACAAGTTTGGACCTTATTTTTTACCCAAAATTTCAAGTTCAGTACATATTTTAAAATTGCATCATTGTTGCCTTTAAGTTTACATTTTGTTGCGGATATACATTTTATGATCAATATAAAATGACTTCATATTTTGAACCTTACTTGCAATTTTGTGTAAATTTAAGGATATATTTGCAATGAAATGTAGAAGGACTAGCATCAAAACAATTTTAAAATATAGGCTAAAGTTGTTATTAACTAAAACGAAAATTAACTCAATGTAAGCATGACTATGCAACTAAAAAGAAATATTTACTTCCAAGTTTAAATAGTCAATTGATTTTATAAACAACATATTTAGTTTTTTAATTTATGTAATTAATTAATTATAACATATTATAGAAACTAATTAGTAAACATAAGATAAAAATCATATCAACAAGCCTATTTTTTTAACCATGATACCAACATACTTTGATTGTATCTACTATACATGCAAAAAAAAAGGTCTCTTACGAAACAAACAAAGATGTACATGACTCTTTGATAATAATATCTAAAAAGATATACTCTTTAATTCAAGAATTAATATCATATTTTAATAATTATAATTTAATAATTCTTTTAAGATATAACAATCTAATAAAAATAGAAATAATAGAATATGTTATATATATATATATATATATATATATATATATATATATATATATATATATATATATATATATGTGTGTGTGTGTGTGTGTGTGTGTGTTTTTGTTTGTTTT